ATTCGCTGTTGTTAAATAAAGTGCATTTTTCTCTTCAAATTCTACATTTTAAAAAAATCCAAAAAAGTGAAACACAAGTCTAAACCAAACTATTAAGAAAAAAAAAATCTATATCACAATCATATCATTAACAACTACTTTTTTTAGATGTATCATAGTTCGTAATATAAAAGTGATCGTTATTTCACGATCAAAATATGTTATAATTATCAAACTCTATCAATTACAAACTTTAAATAAAAATTGTAAAATTTCCATACGGAGAATAAAGAGAGAGAGAATGAAAGAAATACAACCAAAACAAAAAAAAATATGAATGAAAAACTAAAAACAACGTTTGGACTACTATTACATAAGCTATATAAATGTGTTTAATTAAAACCAAAATAATAATAAATGAGTTGTATAAGTACACATCAACAAAAACATATCCTTTTCTGAATTTACTTTAATTATCGAAATGAAGAAAGATGCAACCTGTATCAAGTTTAAAGCAGTCAAAATGATGTGCATTTTGGCAATTTTCAATCACAAATATTATATACACATACCAAGCAAAACAATCTGCGCTATTTATTGAGGACAAGTCCACATTAAAATTTAGCTTATAATTATATGGAAAATTAAAATCAAATAAAAAAAAACATATTATTATCCTCTAAGCATCAATATATCACAGTTCAATTGGCAAGGAGAAAAGTATGAAAATTGATCACAATTCGGTTGGTGAGTTCGAAATGGAAACTTAATAGAATTGAGTTTTAAAATTGTGCATATAACTTTGTTGAAGACAGTTTTTAATCGCCGTACGTACAATCAATGGCCAAAAATGGCATTCGTTCTGGTAGATCTCACTAAATGAATTGATTTCTTGCCAATTGCAACAAATAATTATCCAAACATATCAATTTCTTTTTTCTAAATTTTGGAATGATGTGAAAATTTGACATCAACAACATGTTTTTAATGTAATTGTTTTGATTTTTTATATAAAATAACAATTTATGAAGCATATATAGATAGAAACAGACTTTAACAGTTAGAAAACGTTTAAATTTCAAACTTTAACAAAACAACAACAAAATTATATTTAGCCAGTAAATAAAGATTGCGATACGTGCATATTTTGGCCATGGGCCAACCAATCTGATGAGCCTTTTGAAATCATAATTTCAAATTGTATAAATACAACAAAATGTCTCTTAGGTGGCGAATGATTCAGGTCAAAATATGTTTACAAATGAAATGAACAAAGAATGGTCATTAACAAAATCATGTATCCAGAAAAAAGTGTAAACCTCTCTTTTTCTAAAATAAAAAAAGGAGACATTTCAAAATTTACAACCCGTAAAAAATTAACAATTTACTTCATTTGCTATTTAGCCATTAAATTTAAATGGTAAATGTTTGATCTTTTTTCACATTAAAAACGGCCAATTGTCATTTCAAATTGTATTGCAAAAGTTGATTTTTTCAAAATGTTTCAATCATATAACAAGCTAACTTAATTAAAATTCAATTAGCTTTTTACTAAGAAAAATTTTCTTTTATAAGTATTTTTCAATGGGACTGTGAATTGTGGTTATTAACCACTTTGCACTGAAGTGATTAAATAAACTTTCGCTTCACAGTTTCGAAATTTATATTTTTCGCATCATCTCATGCAATCTGAATAAATTATTTTAATAAAGATGAGTTTAATCATAATGAATACCGAAGCATTCGTATTTTGTTGTTATTTTGCGCTATTTTTTTTCTTCATTTACAATTATACAAAGTCCTGTCTTTATGAACAGACTATACATATTAAAATACAGATACAAATTAAATAGAAGCATAAAATAGTTACACAGATATAAATGTGAAATTTCTTTTCCCCAAAAACAATTATATAAAATAAATCCAAACGGAAATGGATATATTGATTGAAACAGAAAATAAATACAACCAACAAATAACTGATGAACACCACAAAACATTTTGAAAAAAATTCTGTAATATTTGGAGTTATAACGAAATGATACCAAAAAAATGTTAAAAACGCTGCAAAAAATCAACAAATTGTGTTTTATTTCGTCCATGTCATGTTTTTTTGACCGTTCTAGATACAAAATCGGCCCGTTGGACCGGAAAAATACATGATTTTGTTTATTTCACAAATTTTTGGATTCCGTTCTCATCTACCCAAATTCCGGTCATTGTCAAATTATAAAAAATCGTTTTTTGTAAATATTATGTACCGACATTTTTTTTTCTTGAAATTTGGCTTTGAAATGGCTCCATGTAATGACTGATCAGATCTGAAATATTCCAACTGGGTCACTTTATGGAGCCAACAGTTCAAAAATCCGTACAATTCAAATCTGTTATTTGAAAAATTTCACCTAGGTAAAAAAATCACAATTTTTCGACCAGTTGCCGAATTCGCCGATCAACTTTCCAATTATTATTATTATAACAACATAGATGGCCATGAGGGTTCAAGAGGATCACCAGCCACCAGTTTAATTCAGCCAATTATTACGCTCTGTAGTAAATTTGTAGATCGAAATGCATTTTTTGAACCGATTTGTATGAAAAATCAATCATTTTTCATATAGTTTTCTATATCGATATTTCAATGACCATTTCCGGCGAAATTTTGTACTACATCCAAAGAGCTAGCAAGCGAGCAAATGAGATTGGATCTTTAATTATCTGTTTTCACTTTATTATTTCAGCCCATTACTACGCTCCGTAATAAAATTGTATATTTAGACGTCTTTTTTCCAATGGACCGCTTCTGTACGTTTACGCTACTATCCGTAGCTTGTAATAATTACTGAAATTTGGAGTAGAGTAAAGTTATGGCGTAACACGTTCACGGAATGTTTGTTTTACAGTCTGGACTATTGAATTATTCTTTGACGATTAAAAATTAAAGTTCTATTTGATTTTATACGAACATTTATTAGTCTATCTTAGAGGAAAAAGGCCAAAGCACGGCAGTGAGAAAAACGATCGAAGCGCTCGCATCGGTTGCCAGATGAACTATAGCAACCCTATTGGTTGCTGGTACAAATTTGTGCCATTATTCAATGCTGCTTTGCCCAACTGTCACTACTGCCATGCTTTGGAAAAGGCAAAAACCAATTTTCTAGACATTTAAGTAAATTTTTCATTTTTTAATTTAGTATTTTTTCAAAAATATCTGGTTTGTGAACCATGAATATTTTGCGAATTTTTTTATTGGAATGCAAAGATTTAGTGCGATTAAAATGTATATTTAATCGATCTACGAGCAATTTGTGTGCTATTTACTTGTGGAATATTTAATTCAGCATTATTACGACGATATTCATCCCATCTGAAACGAATGCAATTCATAAAAATAAAATTTTTAAAACTACTGTATGCACAATCACCTTATGCATTCGTTTATTACTTCGTTTACCTTATGCATACACGTCCATTGGAAACTCTTTATTGCATCGATTAAATGTAATTGCCCAAAATTATCGCGCCTATTTTTCACAAGGTCCTATTTTAAAATGTTGTTTTATTGCGTGAATATTTTTCTGTTTCAAAGTATTTAATGTCTGAAATTTAAACTCTGAATAAAAACTTTTTTCATCTTTTCATATTCATAACATCTGTTTATTGAATTCATTAAGAATTGTTGAAAAAATGTGTGTTCTGGTAGGTGTCAATTTCTGGACTATACAAAAAAAAATCATGTATCTCGAAAAAAGACGTTATTGAGTTATCATTTTTCAAAAAAAAATTCAACAATGACATCATAAATCGAAGAGGCATACAATTTTGAGTCGGTATGCAAATTTTCAGCAACCTGAAAGATGTAAGTTATTCAGAATGGGAAGCCGGACTGGTTTTGGCGTAAAACTGGACTTACATAATTCACATTCAAATGTACCGTCGGCCAATGCGGCCACATGATCGTGGATTTCTAATGATCGAAAATCTAAACCGCATACATAAATCCGTTCCTTATGATCACTTTTCAAATGAATCGATATGGTTTTTGAATCCCGACGATTTTTTCCATTTGATCGCTATGAATATCGGTATTGAAAAATTTTTGGATACGAGAAAACCGAACATGACAATTATTTTGAAATAAAATCAAGTTTACACAATAAAGATACACTTTCAATGCTAAAATTAGTCAAAATGGAGAATATTGTATGTAATTGCAGTATGGAAAGTGTATCAAATCTTAATTTTATCTCTTAATAAGTGTCAGATTCGATTTTTTCATATTGAGTTGAAAAAATGCATAATAAATAGTTCATACGTCATATAAATGCGTAAAAACGTAATTTGTTTGTCCTTTGTTAATCTAACCCAAGAAAATACAAAACATACGTTTTGTGACGCAAAACGATGAAAACACGTATATACATTTTTGATACTTTAATTTTAAAATAATTGGCATGGTAACACTGAACTTAAATTCACTATTTCTAATTTTTAGACTGAACTATAACTTTTTTTAGACTCGACAATAATTGGACTGAATAAAAAATATCTAAGGTGGTACTCGAATTAAAAAAAAATATTACTCCTATTCTCGATTTAAAAATTTGTGATTTTTGCGCTTGATCTACAAGCTTTTTTACAAATTTACAAATTCATCCACTTGAAAATAAGTTCCATGTAGCTATTTCGAAGAAAATTGACTATCAATTTTCAAAAGCAATATAATTACTCGATACACGTCACAAAGTTCGCTTTTTCGGTATAACATTTGAAACAATCAATGTAAAAATCGGGCGTTACCACCGCGTAAATTCTCCATGCTGATGCGAATGATTTTAAGGAATATTTTAATGGAAATCAATTTTTGTTCATTTTTAAGACTTGAATTTCAGTCTTAATTCGTTGTGCATAAACTGCACCGCACTTCTGTTGAATGCAGGTTAAAAAGGCAAAAAAGGTCTGAATTCCAAAAGTTTATTCGTACTATTTGTATAAAGAAGAAAATAATTAAATGCACAATATGCCATCTGTTGTGCATAATAATTATGCATTAATATATTTTATTTCTTTCATTGGGGCATATGTTTCATAATTTTTCTGATTTTTTTTTATAAATCTTATAGAAATTCTTTATTGTATAAAAATGTTGTATCACCACTGAATTTCACTGAAATTTCTAGTTTATATTTTTAAGACAAAAATTAAATCGGTAAATCTAGCGCTTGGAAGAGAATGCCTTTAAGACCCTTTTCAAAGTAAACCAATAAATGCCATTTGATCACTGGTGAAAAATTTTCACGACCTTACGAAATAGATGTAATAATTACATTCATTTTCTTATTAAAAAGTTCAAAAAAAAAAATGATCCCAGCAAAGTGACTATTAGCATTATGGTCTTAATTTAATTCCTGCCATCCTTGGAATATATTTTCTTACGATTTAAATTAATATGTAAAATAGTTTCTATCTTCTGTTTTTCAGCGAACGAAAAATTTGATCACGGCAACAGTGACGATGCTTAATCCAACCGTTCCCAGTCCAAGTAATTTAAATTTCCAATAAAGTTGCTGACGAAATGTGTTTTTCTTTAAAAGTTCTTGAATCGTGTTTTGGCAAATGTTAATCGGAGGTGGCACAGCCAACTTTTTTTCGATCTATTCAAATAGATATCAAGATTAATCAATAAATTTGTTCTTTTTTTACTTTTTCCAAAACATCAAAGTTTAACCTTTACCTTTTGCATGGTTTGAAAGAGCCGGAGTGCATTTTTGCGTAAAAATTCAAGTTCTTGATTTACTTCTTGACGTAGTTCGTGAGATTCAAAGCTAATGTCGGCATTTTCAACAAATAATTCATGTTCTTCGACAAAATTCAAGGAAGATTTGATAATAACCAATTGTTTTAGGCAATTCGAAAAAATTTCAAAATACTGTTGAATGCTGGTGTTCTTCAGTTTCGGAATGGGTACCGATTTTTGTGACCATATTTTTTCATGAAATCTTAGCAAACCGAACAAAATTCGTTTACGTTGATATGGAAATTCAATACCAATCTCACGCAAACGTTCATCAGTAACGGTCAAAAATTCCGGTAAACCGATATTAGACTTGTAGAATTTGAATTCATTCTGTTTTGCTCGCATGCCACTTAACATTGTATAAAGGTCAGGAGAATATGCCGGACTGAAATAGAAGAAATTAAATGGATGAAAAAAATCAAACTGCACATTTTCAGCTTGATTGGATTTTTTGTTCTTTTAAAACGGAGAAAAAAAAAAATCCAAAAATTCGATCACTCACGCTTCCTTTTCTGGAAATGCATCTGGTATGTGATCCATGTACGTGTTATAGGAATAAACAGTGTTTGGCACATAGTCGACAATGGGATCCGGTGGAAATAGTGCAATAATCCGTGGAATATTTCTTGCTTCAGCCAATGCCTTTGGTGTATTACCAAAAATGTCTCTCATATCAGTCAATGCTCCGGCTTCGATAAGGGTTTTTGTTGCTTCGTATCGATCATTGTTGACCGCATAAAATAGTGACGTTTTTTCTTCATTATCACAAGCTTCCAATGTGGCTCGATTGTTCAACAACAATTCAATTACCGATGTATATCCATTTTGTGCAGCGTGCATAAGTGGTGTTTCGCGTCGTAAATTTGCCTTGTCAACCATTGCATTATGTTCAATCAACCATTCGCAAATTTTTCGTACATTTTCTTCTTCTTCGGGGAATACATCGCTATTGTCAGCATACAAATTAGGTGATCCAGAGCAGGCCAATATCAAAGCGGTCATATCATTTGAATTTGCATTTGTTTCGGCTTTCAATTCAAATAAGAAATATTTTATGATTTCAAGTTGTCGCTCTTGGCAAGCTAACATCAACGGTGTATAATTTGAACCATCCAAAAGTGGCTGATTTATATCAAGACGATTGCGATGTTCCATCCAAATCGAGCGAAATTCGTTCAGTCGACCATACCGAATAGCAGTACTCAAATCGTTTGCCAAATCTTTTTTTGGATCAACATAAACTGTAACATTATTCTTTCTGATTCGGTTCCCGTACTTTTAATGCAAATTACAGCAGCAAAAAAAATGATCGAATCAAATTAACATTGTTGTCTATGAAATTCAATTGTTTAAAATGTACTAACCTGATCATAGTCACTAGACATCATAAATCCTTCGTATTCGGAATCCTCCGAATCGGAATCATATAGTTCGGGCGGTCTTGGTGTCATTGTCAATTGAGGTTATGTTTAATGTTTCGTTGTGTCAATTCTTCTTTAAAAAAGGGAAACAAATGAAAATATTTTACCAATCAAATAAAATTCGCACACAAAGTATGCATTTAAAATGGACTTACCTCGGAAAAATAATCGTTCAATTTTTTTTTTGGCATAAAATTACAAATGCGTCCATCAAAAATGTCGGTTGCAAATAAAAAAAAGCCAACTGGATTAATTCCAGAGACAAATATGAATAAACAACAAAATTGGTTTGACGTTTGTTGACATTTCGTATCTCGGGTATTTATGAATTGTTTTCGTTTTGTTACCGTGTAAACGAGACCATATTTGCGAATAAACAATAAAAAAACGCAATAGAATTGAAGTGTGAGTTTGTTTGCATGTGTAATTTAGTCAGCATTGGCTCTCACTTGAAATAGTTTGAATACATACGTCCAGTGACGAAACAACAACAGACATTGTAACATCGATACTATAAAAACAGTGAAAGAGAAATAGAGAAAAAGAGAAAGAGCGAAAATTCAAGCAATGTGTTCGGAATGTGTAATGCGGCACGGGTATTTTGCCCTAGATTTTTCGATTTCTGTTGTATATTGATTGTGCGATTGTGTTTGTGAATTAAATTGAAATTAAAAATGTATATAATATACGTATATTGATTTTGTTTACATGAATTCTCAATTTTTGATTTTGGAATTTTGTATCAGGTGGATATCGACGATTTTTATTGCAATGTTATTGTGATGAACAACGGTGACAAATGACAGTGTCAAATATCGAACTGTAAACATTGTCACCTATCTTTATATATCCAAAGTGAAAATAATCGTTGAAATAAAAGTCCAACGCATCAATTAAACATACAAGTATAAATTATCATTCATGAATTTAATTAAAAATAGCTCAAAGTGCGTCAAGTTCAAAGTGATTCTCGAAAAAAAATAACGCATTTTAACATTGTGTCAAACATTCGAGAAACTTCGAGAAATAAACCGAAAATAAGTACCCAAAAAATAAAAAAAAAGAGACGAAAAGAATTTGGTGTAGAAAAAAACATCAATCTTGGTGCAAAAATCACTACAACAACAATTCACAATAACGGATCCAAATACATCTACACACGACAATCGAACAATTGAAAAATCGTTCGCACTGATGACGTCGGACCGACCTGTTTGGTGTGATTGTGCCTGTGCCATTGTATTTGTGGAATCTCATGCAAGGCCCAGTCATCATGATAAAAAATGTTGAATTCATTGAATTTACACGATTGATTTATAGTTTGCTAACGACACTTTTGAAAGTTGCTCGGTAAGAAAATAACGAATCATTCAATAGTACGATATATTTCAAAATTCGACACAAATTCAAAACCAACGATAACAATATATATTTAAAAAAAAACTCAAAATACCGACAAACGAGAATTAATAATTAACAAAAACAACAGAGGTACCAATCGAATACATAAAAAACCATAAAAAAAGAGAATAGAGTGTCTGTCTGGCTGTTACCGACTAATTACTACATCTATTCTTTTTGAATAGGGTATCAGTCAATTCGGTGACATTCACTTGAAAACATATCAGAAAAACGAAACTTTTAGTTTTGAGTATCTCCATTATTTGTCATTTTATGTGTGTAGATTCAGAGAGTTTTTTTGTTCTGTAGCTAACGAACCGGTCAATTTAAGTGGTTGCGGATATTGAAAGTCAAGTTCGACTAGTGCCATTTCATCTGTAATTCGTTTTTAGAATTGACGTGATTCTTCATTATTAGACGTGATCAGCTGACGGTCATTTGACGCAGTTGGTCGAATAATCTTTTGTTTTATTTAAATAAAAAAAAATCGTTCATATTGTACCCTAAAAAAAGAAAACAATCCTCCACCTCAAATCGCCCAAATATGAGCGCATCAGATACTGAATTATCCAACGTTCAACCATCTGCACCACGGTAATTTATTAAAGAAAAAGCAAATGTTTTCATTTATTTTAAACATTATTCGCCATCATTTTCTCGCACATTGAATCATTCATTTTGAAATTTAGCATCACTTAGTACAGTATAGTCCATTTTTTATTTATTACTTGGAATCAGATCTTTTTTAATCGTTTTGTTGTTGTTGCCATTTACGTGTCAGTATTGTGTTACATGTGTTTTGTGAATGAATCGTATGGAATCGTATAATTGCGTACTTTGTGTGAAAAAATTCAATATAATAAAAAAAATATGTCATCTTTCAGTCGGCATAAATTCATCTTCGTATACTTTACGGCACATGTGCCGAAAGTACATATTATCTATTGAAATTGACTTCTGAGTAGAGATTCTCTAGTGTTTGAATTCTACGAAGCATTCGAGAGTTCTTCATCTTCATGTGATCCCACTGAGATCTATGCAATATACGTAGAAATTGTGAAATAACTTTTTGAAAAAACATTTGATGACTATGAGAAGTGAGTGTGTTTTTGTTTTTCTATTTTCTACGAACTTGGTTTTTTTTTTCATCGCAACAATGTGTGTCCCTTCTTACTCTTGCTCAGAGTAAGAGTCGGCATTTAGTTTTTGTTTTGTTTTGTTTTTATTATAGATTGTTTGTAAAACAATAACAATGCACATGTATCGTACATGCGCATGTTCATGTCAATAACATACATACATTCGGTTCATTGTATATGTCGTTGTATGTGTGTATGTTTTTATCTACGTTTAAAAACAAAACATGTGATTTGTTCGAGCATCTAAAAACCCAATAACGAAAATGCACATTTATTTCAACTATTTTCATACAAGATGTACTACATTACCCGATCGACACTATATTCCACGTTATGGCATGTCCATTATCAAGTTTAGCCTAGATCAACGTGCGTTTACTTTTTTTTTGTTATTTATTTTACACTTTTGCCTTGTTTTCATTTCTTTTGCTGTTTTTTTTTCTTGTTCTGATGTTTTTTTCCCTAACGAAAACAATCTAAATTCATGCGTGGAGACATGTGCTCAAAAAATATATATGAATGTTGCTAGTCACGACACATTTCTCTCATTCTCGTCGTTTGAAGTTGAATGATAGAGAAATTCGCATAGTACTACAATTGTTATCACTTGGCAAAATCGCTTACTTACGCTCATTTACTACAAGAAGTTGAGCAAAACAAATCGAATTAAATAAAAAAAATATAAGTAAATATATGTTGAAAATAAAAGTTGTAAATCATTCATTGATTGATTATCTTTGCGATGCGTAAAATTATTGAATCGATTAATGACCTTTAGAGTAATGAAATCATTGCAATGAGACGATAGAAAATGTTGTGCTATTTCAATTTGTGTTAGAAGTATACATCGTTATTTTTCACTCATTCGGTTGATATTTGTCGATAATAACACTTGAGGCAAATTCATATATATCACACAAAAAATGAAATAAAGAAAAAACAAGTTGGAACATGTGCGATTGTGCCATTTTTCATAGATTGTTTAGTAATTATTAAATATTTCATCATTTTACTAGAAAAAACCATAGCATTTATGAGGCAAATGAGTTATTATCATATGAAATTGAACTACTAGAAATCCAATAAAAATTGTTAATAAAATTTCTAATAATTATAATTCCCATCTATTTTCAAAACCCGTTGTAACATGAGTAAAGACCTTTGTAAACAGCTGATTATATTGAACGTAAGTGCGACGCAAAAAAATATCAAAATACACAAGTATTCATATGTTGATTATGGCATAGCGTATTTTGTTTTTTTCTTTTCTCGTACTCATCGGGCTTTTTTGTCGTTGTCTTTGGTCACACCTCCAACTTTAAGTGTGGCCGCATGTTGTTTTGCATGACGTCACATTGTTTTTATCATATTTGTTCATGCCATCAAATCAGTATTTTTTTGTTTCGTGTTTACGCGCGCAAATGCTACTATTCTATGCTAAAATATAGAGTACATAACATTCAACATGAATTGCAAGTAAAGAGAGAAAAATAATTTAGTTTAATTGAAAACAATGCGAGAATATTCTTGGCATTTTATTTTTTGTTTTCTAGCTGGTCGTTTGAAAATTCTTTGTCAAGAGAGAGAGAGAGAGAGAGAGAGAGAGAGAGAGAAAGAAAGAGAAAGAGAAAGAGTTAGAAAGAAAAAGAGGGAGAAAGTGGGAGAAAGGAAAAGAGATTGTGACGTAAACGAATGCGAATAAGGAAGTAACGATTAAACCTTAACAATGTTGCAATTGTATGCAACAACGTGTTTATTGGTCTTAAATTTATACACAACAATGAAAATGTATAGTTTGAAGTGTGATGAATTTGCGTTTTGTCGATTGGCGATTCCATGGCACATGTAAAAATATGAAATCAATGCAAATAGAGTGTTTTTAAGATTTGCTTGTGGTAAACTGATTTACATTGCGTCATAACTTTGATTATGAGATTTGGTGAATATGTAATTGATGTGATTGAGTATGTGTGTGCATTGTGTGCACGTTGTCAAAGTGAGAGTAGATAATAAATATTTGAAATCGTGCCCCTGAAGTGTTGTGCCCGTATTCGTTGTTACGAAAAAAAATGAAACCCATACAATCACAGTTACAAATACAGTTCCATCCAATTAGTTGTAGTAGTATGTTTATTTGCGTCGCTGAAAAAGAAAATGATTCAAACAGTTGTTTATCATAGCAGTGAGCATAACAGGAAAACAAAATATGTGGCTAAACTTCGATTGCGATAAATTCGTATCGAACGATGAAGATCTACAACAACTACATGTCTCCGACATGTCAACAGAGACAGAATGGGCGGCCAATGAATTTTTGTTTTGATCATAATCGTCGCGTTTGCCGAAAATACATTCGTGCGAAAATCGCTTGCAATCATAGCAACTTATAAATGTAACATAAAGCTGAGCTGCCGATCAGTTTCTAGTCAAACTCAAACCGTGATACAGTTATTCTTTATTTATTGTGCAAAGACTCATTCTCTCTCTTTATCTCGCCACGAAACAGGCGATAAGTGCAATCGAATCGACAAGACATTTTGCGAAAATTGAAAAGAAAGCTTTTGAATATCGGCCAATTGTCGAAACTAATTTTAGTGAACAAAATTACCAAAAGTTAAATTTTAAATATTTTTGCTCAAAGTTTGAATGAGTAAGAGTGTGTGAGTGTGGTAGTGCATGTGAAAGTACAACGTTTCGTTTTTTGCTGCGCATATTATAATTTATTTATTAAAGAAAAAAAAAAAAAACAAAGAGGAAGAAATAGTTAAATTGTATTAAAGTTATACATCGAGTGTGAATA